AAAAAAAAAAAAAAATTAAAAGATCTATATGAGGGAACCTCAATGCATTCATGAAAGAAACGGGAGAACTGAATCAATGGAGCACATTCTGTGTCGCGGATGAGCAGGCTCCCTGTCATCGGGTGTCGGTTCTTCCCAACCAGTGTAACCCAGTTGTCCTGGGGCAGAGGAGCCGACACAGTGCCGAAGAAGGAGCACGACGTCAGAGGATGGCACTGAGGGCGGCCGACTCTGCAGAGCTCCGGGCATCAGGCAGTGGGCGCTGGTGGCATTAGCAGGACAGAGAGCCCTAGAGAGGACCCACGTGAGTGGAGTCGCAGAGCTGATGCAGAGAGGCAGCACTGGGAGCAGATGCTACCTTTTCCACAAAGCACAGAAAGAAGAAAGAAAGGGGAAGTTAGTCATGGATCTTACACCCTTCACAAAAAGGAACTCAAAATAGACCATAGACCTAAATGTCCAGGGCAGAGCTATATAACTCCTAGAAATAACAGAAAATCTAGACAGCTGTGGGCATGATGACCATAGCCCAGCAGCACTGGGGCCTCAGACGGGGCCACTGCTGCATGACTTGGCCCCAGCTACCCCAAGCCTCAGGACAGGTGTGGGGTAGCTGCACCTTTCCAAAGGGATTCTGCTGGCAAATACCCTAATTTTACTAAGCTATCTGGCACACAGTGGAATGCATTATTAATAGGGCAGCCTAATATATCCATTAACAGGCACACTCTGCTCTGCTTCCTTCTACATGGTCTTTCCAGGCAGTGACAGGGCCCTCTGTGAACATGAACCCCGGCCTACAGGCCAGCTCTCCTGGGCGATGTGTACTGCGAGCTCTGGCAGGTGGGCCCGGGGTTCTGAAATGCTTATTTTCCCCACTGCCCAAGTTTGCCCACTACCTCCCATGGTGAGTCACGGGGACTTCGTCTGCCATCCGAGGCCTTGTGAGCGCTACAACCACGGCACGGTGGTGGAATTCTACTGCGACCCTGGCTACAGCCTCACCAGTGACTACAAGTACATCACCTGCCAGTATGGGGAGTGGTTCCCGTCCTACCAGGTCTACTGCATCAAGTCTGGTGAGAGTGGCCGCTGCGGCTGTGGGGCTTGGGCCGGGCTGGGATCGCCAGCCAGTCCACTCAGGTTGGGGACCCAACATCTGAAAGGGGCCCAGGCCGGGCACTGAGGACAGCCTCAGCCCCAGGCCAGTTTCTCCAGCCCAACCCCTCTACCTGCACACACGGCTGGGCGTCTGGAGCCTGTGCACCCTCTTCCCTCGAGATAGCAGTCAGCACATGCATGGCCCTTACACACTGCAGGAAACCACCCACTTCTGGCCCAGCGCTCAGGCATGGGGCCCTGGCCGCAGTGGTGGGCAGCTGTCCAGAGCACAGCGGTGGCCATGTGTGCCCATTGCACCTGGCACTGGGGGTGCCCACCTTTGCCCGGCCCTGGGCCACGGGGGTTGGAGGCTGCAGGGTTGACACTGGGCCGAGCAGGGAGAAGGGAGGTGGGCGCTGTGCCCAGCGCAAGTCTGCACTGGGAGGGCCTGCCCTGCCACCCTGGCCTGGTCCCACTGCTGCAGCCCAGGCCCAGCAGGGGAGCAGGGCCCTTCCATCCCTCCTGCCAGAAGCACTTCAGCAGGCTCGGTGCCACCTGTCACCCTGGGGCTGTGGCCCTGACTTGACCCCAGGAGCTGGGCGGGGCTCTGGCCAACCCTGCCCCTCACGGCTCCTGTCTAGGCATGACGGTGGGCACCTCGGCCGGCATCCAGGCACAGGCCTCACGCCAGCTGCTCTCCCACTGCAGAGCAAACGTGGCCTGGCATGCACGAGACACTCCTGACCACCTGGAAGATCGTGGCGTTCACGGCCACCAGCGTCCTGCTGCTGCTGCTGCTCGTCGTCCTGGCCAGGATGTTCCAGACCAAGTTCAAGGCCAGCTTCCCACCCAGGTGGGTGCAGGGTCCCGGGCCACAGGGTTTCCAGGACATCTCAGGGGTGTCTGGGATGCCTCTGTCCCGAGAGGCCATCTGGGCTGGTGCTAGGGGCGTACAGGGCACACATCAGGGCTACAGGTGCTGCCCCCAGGACACAGGCCTGGGGCAGGCCGGGGCTTGTGCAGTGGGAAGGCTGGAAGGGGGAAGCGGCAGGCTGTCCCCCAGCACCACAGGCCTCACCCTCTGGGACCCGAGGCTTCAGAGCAGTGCTCATCCTTTCCCCCAGGTGGTCCAGCCCCAGGACTGTGAACCCGTGAGAAAAGGGGTGCATGGGGGGCGAGACTCAGAACCACCCATTGCTGTTTGCCCTGGGAAAGTCCATGTGGGTCCTCGGCCACTGCACACCCTCCACCCACAATGCCAGGGGACCCGCCAGCCAGCCGAGTTCCCCAGAGGTAGTGGATTTAGCAGATCGCTGGGCCACGGCCTGGGTGTGGACCATCAGATGAGGCATGGGCTGGGACGTGGCCCTCCTGCCTGGCCAGTGCGGGGCAGAGGCATGGTACAGAGGAATGAGCAGGGAGAGGCGGCCAGCGTGGGCTGCCCCTACACCCTCAGGAGCTCGGACCCTGGTCCTTCACAGTGTCTCCTGTGGCCTTGAGGCTGCCCCCGGGCACCGGAGGACAGCGCATCCTCCAGCCACCACCTGGCCTGCACGTCCTGGCCTCGTGTGCCTGGGCTTGGCAGCCCCTGCCAGGCCTGCTCAAGTCTCCTCCCTTCCTGATGTTGAGAGCTGACCCTGACCCAAGGGTGCTGGCTCCTGGACATGGGTGTCCCCAGGGCACAGCTGAGGGGAGCTCTGTTGGAAGGCCCTGCAGTCTCTGTCCTGCTCTGCCATAGTGGGAAAGGAGACTGGTTCTTCCAGCCAGCTCCTGGGTCTGCTGCCTGTCGGGCAGAGCCTCCACCACTGTGGGTGTCGCTCTGACAAGTGGCCACTGTTTCCTGTCACAGGGGACTCCCCAGGAGCTCCAGCAGCGACCCCGACTTCGTGGTGGTGGACGGCGTGCCCGTTCTGTTGCCATCCTACGATGAGGCTGTGAGCGGAGGCACGAGTGCCTTAGGCCCTGGGTTTCTAGCCGCCGTGGTGCTGGTGGATGACCAGAGCCCCCCGGCCTACCCCGGGGACACAGACATGGGCACGGGGGACTCCTCAGAGGCCTGTGACAGTGCCTCGGGCCCCTCTGAGCTGCTCCAGAGTCTGTACCCACCTCCCCCGAGCCAGGTGCGAGCCTGTCCCACCCCCGAGGACCCCAACCCAGTGGCCGGCACCCTGGACACGGCGTCCACCAGCCCGGGCATCAACATTGCAGACGGTGAGTGCCAGCCAGCTGCCGCTCCTGGTCACCCTGACTCCAGGCTGCGCAGACCCTGCTATCCAGCCTTAGAGCTGACTCCACACTGCTGCCCGCCTGCGCCTGAATGTTGTCTGTCAGAGCCCTGGGTAAAGTCGTGTTTTGTTCTCATTAGTTTTCTAGTACGTGTGTGCAGTGCATAACGCTTACGCCCCTTGTGTGGAGTTGGTGCACAGACATAGTACATCTTCGTTCCTTTTTTAGCTCCTGTCCCATCCTTTCCCCTCTCTCATAGTCACAAGGAGATGTTGTGCCAGGGAGAGGGTTTACTTGATTGCAATAGATCCCTGAAACGTTGCACTTTCTGATGTTCTAGGGAGACTCGCATTCCAAACTGTAACCACCGCCTCCCTTACAGAGATCCCTCTGATGGAAGACGGTGCCTAGGGCTGAAAGCGGATGACCCCGCTGCCCTCAGGGAGGGACCTGGATCTGCAAAGCGAGGCCGCAGAAGGACAGAGCTGAGCCCGGGTGCCGTCTAATCCACATTGCTGGGCCCCAACTCCCGCAGCCCATTTGGAAGTCGGCACAACTGACTCGCTGCCCAGCCAATGATGTTGAACGAGAGTCAAGGATGCCAGGACCAGGCGCAGAAGAGCAGGGACCCGGGCCGTGGAGAAAGGTGTGCGCGCGCCTGCTCCACACACACCCGCGACGCTCAGCCTGCTGCCTGGAGCACCCACCTGAAAGCATGTTGCGCTCACATGGTGTAAATTTGCTGCTCGCGTCTGCCGCCCCTGCCCTCAGAGTCCGTGCTGTCCTGAGGAGCAGGGCGCCCGCCCTCTGCGGGGACCCAGCTGTCCTCCCTCCCTGATGCCTCTGTTCCTGGCCCTGCAGTGTGGCGAGAGAGGAAGGGGAGGGAATTCTGGAGCCTGTGACTTCATGAGCCAGATGTGCCGAGACGCTTCTCGTGGGAGGGATGGGACCGAGGTGCTCTGTGGCTCCACTCCGCAACTGTGTGGGGGCTCCATCCTGTGCCCCGCTTCGAGGCCTGGCCGTACTTTATTTTCCAAAACAGAAATTGCTTCTGCCAACATACTCTGCCTCCAAAGAAAGTGTGCAGCTGAGTTCTTCCCCCTCCTTTACTTGGTTCTGCAGACGTGGCCCGAGACGCCGCTCCTGCTCAGAGCACCTCCTGGCTTCTGCTGCCTGTCAGCGCCTGCCTGCTGGGAGAGGACGCGGCCCCCACAGGAGGGTTAGGACCCAGGTCTGGAGCCCAGAGTGTCCCAGCACGCTGCTCTGGGAAGCCGACTTCTTTCCTCCTCTGGGTTTTAGACAAATACACAAAACTGCAGTCTGCATTGCTGAGCTGGTCACGTGTGAGGCCAGGAGCTCGATCAAGTCTAATTTTTTCCTCAACACAGATTAAAAATTAAGAAGAAACCAATGGCGTGACATGCAACTTGGGCAGTGGCGTGGAGTCAGGCGGTGGGGAGGGAGTCAAGGCCGCCCAGTGTGCCAGGTGCAGGACTCCAGCGGGGCGCAGTTGGGAAGAGCTGGCCCAAGGGGCACCACCCCTGTCGCCAGCCCCTTTGCCGCAGGAGCTGAGGGTGTGGCAGTCGGGGCAGGAGGGACCTGGGTCCCGTGTAGGCAGCGGGCCTCACCTCCACACCTGTCGTCCTGCATGCCACACGCCTCAGGCCCCAGCAGGACTGGCTGGAGAGACGGGACCCCAGTGCCACCAGCACCAAGAACCGGCATCATCAGGGCCCCAGGGGCACAGCTTGCTGTGCAGGGCGCTGTCCCCTCAGTCTCTGGACCCCTGCACACTGAGGGACAGCAAAGTCTCCCCACAAGTGTCACTGGCTTTCCTGCTGCAGGGAAGTTGCGAGGCAGGAGCCCCAGGCTTGTCACCACCCTCCCCGGAGTCACTCTGGGAGGCTGAGGTGGAAGGGTCTCCGCCTCCAAGACCCTGTCCTCCCTGGGCGGGCTGCTGGGAAGGTGGGTCCACTGGGCAGCCGAAGGAGCCCACTGAGGAGTCCAGGCCCACGCACTCACCCCAGGTGAGACAGGAGGCCCAGGCGGCGGCACACTTCAACTCCATGCAGCAGGTAAGGTCTGCCCTGTGGACTGGGGGTCCCTCCACCTCGCTGTGCCTCACAGCCGGCCAGTGTAGCAGGGCTTCTGTCCCCGCCGCTGCACTCTGCCATCCGGTCCACAGCTGTCTCCCCAAGCAGCAGCAGGTGGCATGGAGATGAGGCCCTGCCCAGCTGTGCTGAGCGGAGACCGGGAGTGCGTCTGGGCAGCTGTCCCCTCGCTCGTGTAGGAGAAGAGCCTGTCCCGGGTGCGATCCACACAGGCCCTGCACCTCTGCCTGCCTGGGCCTGCAGGTCAGGCTTGCTCAGGGCCATTGCAGAGGACAGGAGGTTCAGCCATCCAGTCCCCGGGGCCAGTCTGGCTCCATGCTGGGGCCAGGCAGGGGAAGGGATGGGGAGCACCACGCTGCTCAGGAGACCCCAAGGTTGCCGAAGGCCCCACTGTCCTCTGCGGGGAGCCCTGCAGTCAGCACCCTCTCCCTGGGTTTCCTGTTCAGGCTTTTGGCACCTGTGCATGCCCAGGTGAGGGGAGCTGGGTCCAGGGCTGCACAGCAGTCACCTGGGCAGGGCAAGGAGTACAGTGGTGGTGACACTGCCGACATCAGAGCCACAGAGGACGCCGGCACAGAGACCCTTGGGCCTGCAGGTAGGCCTGAGTGGCTGTGCCCCTGAATGGGAGCCAGTGACCGGCCCTGCTGAGCTGCTGGTCCCCAAATCCACCAGACAAAGAACGCTACGTCCTGACAGGTGCAGGACCCTGGCCAGGGCGGAGCTGAGGGAATGGAGCCGGCAGGAAGCACCGTGGCCACACAGCCTTGTTGAACCGCGGCAGCACCGTGGCCTCTGCGCAGTCGGCTGTGCTCTCCAGTGGGGGCCCAGGGCTGTGGGGTTTCAGGGGAGCTTCCACAGGGGAGGCGGTGGACAAGCCGGCTGCGGGTGGGGGGTCGGAGAGAACGCAGCGGGTCTGGAGCTGGGGCAGAGGTGGGGTGGGGTAGACCTGAGCACAGCAGCACAGGGTGCAGGTGCCCTGCCCGAAAGCACTGGCAGGTTTGGTGCTCAGCATCGGGAGGATGCAGGTGGCTCCAGTGGTGCCACTGTGTCTGGTGGAGTCAAGGACATCCAGCCCACGCAGGACGGCACGGCCCCCTTGCTGCACAGTGAGGGCCCACTGCCACTTTCAGGTGGGGACTGCAGCCCCACCCCTGCGTGTCCTCTGCCCCCACCAACCCGCTGACCCACAGCCATCTGCAGCTGGGGGAGGCCTGGCCAGCATCCGGAGGCAGGGCCACACTGCAGACCCTCAATGTTTGGCAGGAGAGTCCATTGGGCCCTTGCAGTAAGAGCCCCCAAGTCTCCTGGCTTGGTCCAGCCCTCATGGGGCAGCACTTCTGATCCACTCTGAGCCTGTGGGAGGGAGGGGAGGCTGCCGCGTGCCAGCAGTGCCCACTCACCACTGCCCTGGGACAAGGGGGCAGCCCTTCTCCTGGCCAGGCTGGCGAGGAAAAGCTGTTCACTCCACAGCAGCTGGGAGGTGAGAGAAAGGGACAGAGCGGGGACAAGAATATACCTTCTGAGGTGACAGCCTTAGCGGCCACCTCCCATGAAACCCAACAAGCACCCCACAGTCCATCATCTCCCAGGGAGACATTTGGGGGACACTTCAGATCCAAACCCTAAAATTCTGCCCCTGGCCTACAGCAGAGTCCACATCATGGTGCGGATGGCATTGAGTGTCTCTCAGAGTCACCAAAGTCTTAATTCCAACACTGCTGAAAAGTCCAAGTCCAAAGTCCGCTTTCAAAGTAGCCAGGTGTGGAGGCACACGCCTGTGATCCCAGCACTTGGGAGGCTGAGGCAGGAGGATCGCCCCAAGTTTGAGGCCAGCCTGGGCTACACAGTGAGATCCTGTCTCAAAAATCCAAAACTAAAATAAAATGAAAGTAAAATTAAAAAAGAGGTTAAATATTTACAACATACAATAGCATAGGGTAAACCACTCCCATTCCAAAAGGGGAATCAGGGGAAATGGAAAGGAATGAAACCAAGGACTGAAAGCCAGCAAGGCAAACACAAGATCCTGTAGCTGTGTCCCATACAGCATTGCTGGTTGCAATCCCTATGGCCTCCCTCTGGGCAGGACTCACTCTCTGCCTCTTCTCAGCCGCAGTTCCAGGCTCCTGGCCTCTCCCGCTCCTCCACTGCACTAGCAGCCTCGGAGGGAGGGGAGACAGGCTGGAGACCTCCTGGTGCAGAAGAGCCAGTTTGGCCAGGTTGAGGAAAAGGAGGGGCTGGGACATGAGGACGAGCACCGACTCTGTGTCACGCGCACACGTGCTCCCCCGGGGCCTAATCTGCCAGGGCTGCCTGTCGACTGTGTTGGTGACCCCACCCCAGTGTGCTGCCCTCCTGTGTCCCCAGCCTCCTGGGGTCTGGCCTCTTGGGGCCCTGCCCGCTCCTCAACAGTCTCACAGCCTGTCACGGGGCTGCGATTCTGGGCAGAGGGGGGACGGAGCTATTTGAAAAGCCTCCCCCTAGCCTCCTCCCTGGCTGTGCCTCCTGGTGACCCTGCCGTGTGCACAGGGACAGGATGGCTTCTTCCCTGAGCCCCCGAGCCCTGAGCCAGGCTGTGGACCGCATTCCCTTCCGCAGATGGAAACCAGCCTCACCACAGCTCTGCCTGCCCGGAGTGAGGCCCTTGGGGTCCTGCTGGCTGGGCTCCATGAGCCTGCTTCTTTCCAATTTGTAGAACTGGACAGAAAGAAATGCTTCCTCAGGGAGCTGTGTCTTGGGTCCCTGGCCCACGCCGGTGTGGCTGCCACTTGGCTGCATCCCACTCTGTTTCACTTTCCTGTCCCTGTTCCTCACATCTCCAGGACACAGTGTGGTCAGCGTGCGTGGCAGCCCCGGGGTGAAGCCAATCTCCGGTCCCGGCTGTGCTGTCGGCTGTGTGACCCTGTGCCTGTTGTCCTGCCCTGCTGGGTTTAGCAAGGTTTTCACAAGGGGTGAGGGACACATGCACAAAGCTGTGCTGATGCCCCCGGGGGCCTCAGGTTGTGCAGTCCCCATTGTAATTGGAAAGCAGGGCTCGGAGGCAGAATGAGGCATGGGTACTGAGCTTGCATGGGATGCACGCTCTGCAGAGCCTTGCCAGGCCCTAGGATTCAGGGTGCACCTCGGGGGCATCTGTGCTACAGCCAACCTGTGTGACCTGAGCTCATGGAGGGCAGAGTTGCTGGGCCGTGACGATTCCTCCCCTCCAGAGACCCTGGCAGGTATCTGTGCTCTGAGCCTGTCCTCTGGCCCATCTGATGAGGCCCACAGCTCCCAGCACGGAAGGTGTTGGTGAGGGTTGGAGACCGGGAATCTAGAGCGACTGGCACTGCCTGGCCCGTGATGGGTGTTAGACCTTGTGACCCAGCTGTTTGTGCCAGGCCCCCCACGTGCCCTTGTGAACGTCACTTGAGGCATGTGACAACCTCTGAGTAAGAGGGTAGAGGAAGGGTCGTGGCCACTTTTCCTTACATAGCACACGGCAGTGCCCCAGATACTCTGAAATGCAGGATTCTTAGCGCTGAAGTACCAGGGCTTCGCCCTCCAGGAGGAGCAGGCATTGGCCATGCCACACGAGCCGCTCTAGCACCGTCCCACCAGCAGGGGGCGGGCTGCTCCAGGAGGTTATGCCCACTCTGCAGGTGGAGTCCAAGCTCCGGGCGCCTGCAGACTCTGTGTCTGTCTGGCCAGGGCCTGCTTCCCATAGGTGACAACTTCTTGCTCTCGTTCACATGCCAGAAGGGATGAGGGTGCTCTCCACAGTGTCTACTCAGGGCCCTAATTCCACTCAGGGCTGTGCCCTCATGACACGCCCACCTCCGCAAGCCCTTTCCAAGGCCAGCACTCTGCAGGTTAGCCTTCCAAGCGAGTTTGGGGGACACAGATGTTCGATCTGTGCTGGGGTCAGAGGGCATGGTGTGCCTGGGGCCATGCACTGCCCCACCCGCTCTCCCTGGCCCAGGGTCTCTGCACCCTGCTGCTGCAGCCTCCTGGGGCTCTGAGAATGGGCAGTGCACCCCAGCCACCCATAAAGGGGCCAGAGCAGCACCCAGGAGGTGGGAAGGGACCATATTAGGCCAGGGAGAAAATTTAGTGGTTCGTGGCCAGCATCATTTTGGGAAGAGATGAGGAGAGGAGAGTGGAGAGGAGAGGAGACTTCAGAGTACAGTGGACAGAACAGAGAAAGTGTTTCGTGGAGTTCTTGCTTCATTATTGCCCATGCACGTGTGTCTATCTTCAGTATAAAATGCACTTTGATGGGTCGCTGCCAGAAAGTTTGAAACACCTTATCGGACATGGACGGTGACGTCCTCTTCCCCATCGTCCCACACTGCAAAGTCACTTGGAGGAGACACCCTTTATGCCTCTCGTCATCCTGCACAAAGCCTCCTCAGTCCAGGAGCGCGGCCAGGCATGCCTCACAGGATGAGGCCAGGTGCCCAGGGCCCACAGCCAGACACCCTCCCAGTGTCTCCTGGGGCCTCGGTGCCTCTGTCCTTCTAGGGACCGTCTGCCTGCTAGAGGAAAGTGCCCTCTGCCTCCCGTGCTGCTGTCCCAGGCCCTGCCGAGCTCCGCTTCTCCCCCTTCCCCCACATTCGCAGACCAGGTGACTCCATTTCTGGGTGAAGACTCATTTCCTGTACCATGAGCCCACAGGGTCCCAGCACCTGTCCCTAAAAACTCTCGGCACAGTGCTTTCGTGGGCCACCTGTGCATCACACAAAGCTCGGGGAGGTTCCGCTTGGGGGCCAACATCGGCTCACCCTTTTGCAGCGAGTCTGACGAAGCTGCCAACCCTGGGAGAGCCAGCCCCCCGAGACTGCACTCACTGTAGATGTCAGCCACACAAGCTGTGGGGCCCCAGGGCCCCTTCATATCCCATCAGCTGGCTACAGATCCAGGGGTCTCGAGTCACTCTCTGGAGCCTCTCCCAGAGCTCAGGAAGGTGCTGTTACGGCTGTGTCTGGATGCCCCCAAAGCCCTGTGTGGTCCCGGGTGGGGCTTTTCAGGGGAGGCTGGATCCAGAGTGTGAGATGCTGGGACTGATTCATGGTGCAATGCTAGGCTCGAGGGCACTGGGACCAGGGTGTGAGCGCAGCCCGCCCTAGGTAGTCTGGATGAGGTGTAAGGGACAGAAAGAGCTGTGGTCGTCCCTTGATGTTTTGCTACCTCTGCTTGCCATGAACTGTTTCCCCTCTGCCACCCTGCCTTGGAGCCAGCCGATTACAAACTGAAACCTCCACAAACTGCAAGCTAAATAAACCTCTCCCCCTTTAAATTGGGGTGTTGAATATTTTATCTCAGCATGGAGAAAAGTAACTAAGGCAGGCGTTACAATTACAATTACAATTTACTACAGGAAGAACAAGTCCAACCACAGGTTTCAAGGCACCTGGGCAGAGTCTGGGGCTTCAGATGTGGAGCTTCCATGATGAGGGCCGAGAGGCTGGGCCGGCAGATGCCCACTGGGCAACTGGGATGCAGCTCAGAGTCTCCACCCCAATTCTGTGTTGCCTTATTACCTTGAAACTCCGGGTTGGGTCCCTCTCAGCTCTGCACACAGGTGCAGTGAAAACTGAAGGAGTCTACATCGCCAAGTTTGTCTCCCCACTGTAACCTACCTCATGTCTGCCTCTGAGGACAGGGGACACCGGCTAAGAGTGACCAAAGTAACCCTCAGGATGTGCAGGGACACCCAGCCGCCAGCTGTTACAGCTTCCTTCCAGAGCCCTGGAGACCCCCATGGAGGATCACCCTGGGCAGAACCAGGCTGTTCCCACACAGGACCTGTCATCTCATGGTGGGAGCCCGGCTTCCCCCCAACAATGGTGGCCCAGCCAAGACCTCACGGAACTGACCCAAGACACCGACCAAGCAGACCAGGACTCACAACCTACACTCCCAGCTATGCACCCCAACCCTGTCTGTTTCCCTTATCCTTTAAATCCCAAAGTACCCAGGACTTATCGAGGCTGAGGCAGGAGGATCCTAAGGTTGAGTCCCTCCTGGGCACCTTAGATGTTTCAAAAATTAAGTTAAAAATGGCTGGGAATGCAACTCAGAGGTAGAGCGCCCCTGGGTTTGACTTCCAGTACTGCAGTCAGTCAACCAATCAATCAATAAAACGCCAGTCTCTCATCAGAGCTCCTGCAGCCTCCACTGCTCTTCTGTGCACTCAAGTATGGGGCAGTGAAGCCCTGACACTGAGGCTAAAGCTCCAGGAGCACCTCGGTGTCCACAGGGCACGTCCCCACCCAACACGGACCATGGTGGAGCCCACGGAGCCCACAAGAGCTGCAGGGTGGACTTTGAGAATTCATTCACATACTGCTCAGTCTCTGGCCCACCCAGGAGGCAGAACTGATGAGCTGCGTCCCAGGGACCCACCCAAACCACACCGTAGGACTGAGAAACAGTGCCACTCCGATGGCAAGGAATGATCTCTTCCCCATTCCCACGGCAAACACCAGGTGTGGTCAGTCCCTCACCCATGCCCGTCCTGCAGGGGATATTGGAGAGCCACAGTGGGGTCTGGGACAGAGCTGTGGGTGCATGGGACAGCAGGGCCAACCTGAGCCTTGGGAGGCAAGTGAGAGCCGCTCCCCCAGTCCACTGACAGGAGCTGTAGGCCTGTTCAATTCCTGTGGACGATGCCTGACGCTCCTTCCCTGCGGCTGCTCCCCAATATATAGGGCGTCCTGCCCTGCCCCTCCACTCCCCGTGGGGATGGATGGTGGCCAGGCTCACCCGTCCCCCCTGAGTGAAACTCAATTACACAGGTCCCGTTTGTGAGGCTTTGTCTTCTCTTCCTCTCCCCCAGACTAGCACAGCCCCACAGCAGGGGGATCAGGATCTCCCGGGCCGTCTAGGGTCAAGCAAGCACTTTCAGGCACTATTAGCCACAAAGTGCTGTTCAGGGCTCCGTCTGCCAAGCCCTTGGTCCTATTTCCCAGGTGGCTGTCCACTGGGCTCCCTGAAACCTACATATAAATTGGCAGAAACGGGGATCAGAATGGGACGGTGCCCAGCATCCTCAGACGGGGAGCAGAGAGGACCCTGTGTGCCCGAGAGGAGAAACCGAGCAGTGTTGTGTGGTCACAGAGACAGATGTGGGCCTGGAAGGGAGGGTTCCCCGGTCCCCGCTCAAGGAAGAGCCCTCGCGCAGGACGCACGTGTCCAGGCAGCACGGTTTATAAAGACAAAGGCTGGGAGACTTTCTAGATGTGCAAAAGGAAAAACAAATAATCCACGTTCCACCTATGCAGTGGATGCCATGCAGCTGCGTTCACCACTACGGGAAAATTAGAAAAACGTGGAGTGAATGAAGCGACGTTGCAAAGGAAACACGGGATGTAGAAGCATCTAGGCAACAGCTGAGTCATTCACAACCCTGCCATGCACATCTGCGTGTTGCTGGTGGAGTGTCTGCATGGTACATGTGCACGGTTCGTGTACACGGCACATGTGCGTGGTATAATACGCGGTGCCTATTCCTGGTACATACATGTGGTGTATGGCCGTGGCCCCCTAAACATGGGGGACCAGGCATGTTTGATAGTCTGAGTTGCCTGGATTTTAGCAGCGTCATGTGGAGCTGTGCACAACAGGACACCTGTCAGGTATGACACAGACCCACAGTCGAGTACCACACGTTCCTAAGAGAAATATGAGAACTCACCTAAAAGGCGGTGTGGGGCGTCCAGAAACAACTTCACATCAGTTCAGGCTTCGCTGCCAGTGAGCTTGTCACAAATTCCAAGCACTTCTGTTTCTCGGCATTCTTTGGGCTTCAGAATTGTGGCTAAGAGAGCGAGCCCCTAAGTAGAGACACACACGTGGCCACCGTGTGGCTCTGTGGCCGGCGCTGGCCCAGCTTGCAGGGGCCTGGAGGTCAGCCCCAGCAGCAAGGAAGGTCAGTAAAATAAAATAAGCACAGCAAATCCAGCTTTAGAAGCCCTGGAGGAGGGCAGGGCAGGCGGGGCTTCCTAACGCTCCTGCATCTTCGCCTTGCACGGCCCAGGAGGGGTGGGGCGCTAGCCAAGGGCCTGTCAGGTGCTCTGCACCATGCTGAGTGCTTCTGAGCAGGAAGCAGGGAACCTGTGTCTGGGCTCCAGAGAGAGGAAAGGATTTTCCCACCTCCCAGCTAGCAAGAGGGGAGCCTGGGATTCCTTCCTGGAAGAGCATTGGCCGGTGTGAGTGAGGGCTCTGCGAGTCTGTGCTAAAACCCACGTGCAAATGACATAAAGAGCATGGGGTGTGGATTCGAGCCTCAGCCCAGCCCTCGGGGAAGTGGAGACCCCACAGCACCTCCCTGCTGCTGGCTCAGGTGTGAATGGTCTCACCACCCCAGGCTCCTGTCCCCTTAGTACCCAGCCGGCTCCAGACACGACCCACTCCTCAGGTGCCGGCCAACCCTTGAGGCTATCAGTGGCCTGCAGCCATTTGTCCTGGAGAGAGACCACCTGTTCAGTCAACCTTGGGCATCCTAGTGCCTGACCGAGCGGGCGCCACAGAACTCCAGTTCCCTCCCCACGGCCCAGGCCCAGCTGCAGCGGACACAGGGTCCTGGCGTCTGATTACTGACCATCAGGTCCAGGGCCCAGACTGGGGACACGGAGGAAGACAAGGAACTCTGGGAAGAGTCCAAGGCCAGGAGAAGCAGACAGGTGGAGCACGGTGGGGCGATGGCTGCTGTGCGGTCACCGCAGTCGGCTGGACACGGGTGGCACGGACTGCGGCCCACCGCCCCGAGGCTGGGACATGTCCTGCTTGATGCCATTTCTCAGACCACGCTGGTTCCCCTCAGTAACCAGCACCGTCCACCCTCAGGTTACTGGCCGCCTGCGGTGTGTGCTTCCTGCTGTTGCACAACAAAATCCCAGAAAATCCGTGACTTGAAACAATGGCCACTCTTTGCCTCCCTCTCTGTGGGTCAGGAGTCCTGGCTGGTGGAGCAGGGCTGGCGCTGGAGGACAGGATTTGCCTAGGCCTGGGTGGGGCGGAGCCCGAGCGGGAAGAGCGGGGGCGGGGCCGGACCACTGGGCTGGACTGGATTCCACAGAGCTTGATCTGGTGGCACCAGGAAGCAGGAAGCAGGCGGGCAGCGCGGATCCGGACCCAGGAGGTGAGCGCCCAGGGGTGCGGGGTGAGGACACAGCAGTAGGAGGCCTCTGCCCTGCGCTCCTGCTGGCGTCCAGGCGGGCCCTTCCCGCGGGGAGAGGATTGGGAGGCTATGGTGACCTCTATCGTGCGCGCCGAGGGTGGCAGGGCTGTTCTGAGCACCAGCCTGAGTTCTGGTCAGCGCCCTGCTGTCCCCTCATGGTACTGCCGCCTGCAACTGCAGGACCTGGCCACCCTGAGAGTCACCAGCCCTGTACGCCTGCCCAGGTCCCTACCCAGAACCCAGGGCACCTACCAAGGGACTGGAGCACTGGCCTGGAACCTGAAGCACCTGCCTGCACCTGCCCAGAGCGCTTACCAGGAGCCCCAGGGGAGCATCTTCCAGACTGGGAGAAGAAAGCTGTTGGAAAGGAGGGAGAACTGGGCTCGTGGAGAAATCTGTCCAGGGACTGGGCTCCTAGAGACCGTGGCAGGACAGGTGTTTCTGGGGCGTGCGGGACAGGTGTTTCTGGGGCGTGGGATGGGCTTGGGACCGCACCAAGGTCTGGGGTAGACAGTGCGGTTCAGGGTGGCCTGGACTCTACCTTCTTCCCAGCTGCAGTTGGCTGGGTCCCCAGCATGGGGAACACTCCAGTCCAGCCCTATGCACCTCTGACAGGCAGTGTGACCCCCGTGGCCTTCAGCACCCTTGCTGAGAGCGGCCTGGTCAGAGTGGTGACCCCTCATGGTCTGAGCTGCTGGACCACAGCTCCCAAGCACATGAGTGGTGTGGTCACGACTCTCACTCTTGCTCAGGGGCACTGAGGCCTCCTGGGCCTCTGTCTTGCCTCACCTTATTGTCTGAGCCAGAACACAGTGGCCCAGGTCTTCCCAGCCAGTTGCAAGAAGAGTGGGGCACTGGACCTCGGGAAGCCCACGAGGCTCATAGCAGGCACGTTTTAGCCACAGGGAGACACATGGGGTTAACTGCCATCTGACCTGTCCACCCACCTGTGAGGTGGCAGCACAGCACCACCCTGCACATCTGCAGTCTGAGCAAAGCAAAGTGCTTTCTGACTCGCCTTGTCTGCTGCAGAGCCAGCCCTGACAGGTCTCAGTTCTGCGTGTGGAGCAGCACCTGTCCTGGGCAGGGCTGACCTGTCCATGCTATGCATCTGCACATCCTGCTCTGCGGGAGCTGACAGAGCAGTCCTGGTATCTCTGCGTGACCATAGACCAGCAGGGCAAGAAAGTCTCGGCTCATCCAAGCCACCTGTTTCACCCTTAACTTCATGAAGATCACAGAAGGCAGATCCCAGTCTTCTCCCTGGTCTCTGAGGCTTCCATGATTTCCAGCCCCAGGGCCTGATGGTGGAGCCGTCACCCACAAATTGCTCAGCTCTGCGGGCAGTGACAAGTTGGAGGCTTTGAGGTGTAGGCAGGGAGATAAAGCCAGCACCCCTAAGGAAGAGAATTCAGAGCAGTTCTGTGGTATCCTCTGGTGGGGAGACCAGAGCCAGCACGGGCTGGAAAGGCCAGCGAAAACTGCAAGGACCTGGTTGGTTCAGAAGACGTCTTCAGAAACCACAATGAGGGCTGGGCCAGGCAGGCAGAGGATGCCAGGCAGGTGCAGCATCCCGAAGCCCAGGCCTTTGCTGTCCAAACTCTGCCCACTCCCCTTTCCCTTCCCACCTCCAGCCACGCTGCCCTCCCCAGGGCTCTGGTCGCACCTCCTTCGCCTCCATTTTCTGAGTGCTCTTGGGGAACCTGCCACGCCATGGAAGAAGCATGTCCTGTGGTCTCTTCCGCAGTGAGGGTTTCTCTGGCCACCCCTACCTCCATCTTCAAGCAGGGTTGGGGCCCCTCCCTCACCCACCAGTCCCTCACAAACCTCCAGTGAAGCTCAGCACCCTGTGTGTTGCCTGTGGGAACAGAGGGGTCTTTGCCAGCTCACTGAGCAAGCTGTATCCTTTGGGACCCCACAGCCATACACAGGGAAGAGTAAATGCATCCGTGCTTGAGCACAGGGTGTGGGTTAGGTGCTGTTGACACCCAAGGCTGAGGAATTCAGTAGAGGCCATACTGGAGCTCATGGCAGGGGCCGTGCTCAGGCCCTCACAGGAAGTCCAGCCTTCCTGACCCGGCTGCAGCCCCCTCTTGTTCCCCTTGCATGCATACCTGAGCCTTCGGAGCCAGGGCCCTGGCCTGGACCCGCTTCGCTTTGCACCCTGCACACACGGTAGCACCTTCCCTCCAAAGTTCCGGTTAGGACACAAGTCTGGGTCCGCTGCTCGCTGCACTCCACCGTGCCCAGGAGCTGAGGAGGAGATGTTCCAGAAGTAGGTGGCCAGAGCTTCGACCCTGGGAGAGAGAGCAAAGAGATTCCAAGCACAAAAGAGCAGGTGGGAACTCCAAGAGGGAGCACCGAGGGACAGCTGGACTTGAGGACTGAAGAATCTGCCTGGGAGAGGGGAGAGACGGCACGGAAAGAGGGGAGTGGCTGCGTCCAAGGTCTTCCGCTTGTTTCCTTTACAACAGAGCCAGACACACTTGAGGTGGGAGGACAGGGGCCTGTTCCGCCTCTAGGGGCCTAGCCTTTTGGTTCACCTGGACCACACTTCAGGAAGAGGAATTTTCTCAGACCCCAGGAAATATGTAGTGTAGTTAATGTGTGTAAGTAACAGAACTTCCTTTAATCATTTTATTATAACCAAAAAAAGGAGGGCAAGTGCTCATGGGCCCCAGGTCACACTGGCCTGTGGCCTCCACCCTGCCTCTCCGTCCCTGCAGGCGCCCACAGAATGAACTTCCAGGGCAGCCTCCAGAGTCACAGGGCTGCTAAACCCAGCTCGGTGTTGCAAGTGAGCTGCTCTGTTCTCTCCTGCGCGGCCAGACCTCTCCCTCACTGCACACGGATTAGCAACACTGACGATAATGGCAAACGCGCAGGTGCACACACTCGAGCCACCACGTTCCGAGCCCCTTTGAGGGGCTGAGGTGGGCCAGGATCCAGATCCGATACATCTGGCTTCAGGTCCATGTGCTGAATTTAAGATGAGAAGGTCCGGCCCAGGGATTTAGCTCAGTGGTGCCACCTGCCTGGCTAAGCTCAGGGTTGGAAATTCGATCCCCGGTACCCCCCCCCAAATTTTTAAAATTAAAAACAAATTAAGATGAGAAGGTTGGGCATTGCTGTACTTAGATGCCTGTCAGTGTCCCCAGTTCACAGCCTGTCACTGCTGACCACACAGCCTGCCCACATCACCCAACTAGGTATCGGTATGCCCAGTTTCAGGGTGTGCTGGGCCAGTTTCAATCATCAATGAATACCAACCAACAACTCATCTGTCGTGCGCAACATAGAGCAAGGGACTCGGAAGTGTGAGCTGTGCGTCTCACCCCACTCACTCTTCACAGAACTGCCATTTAGACAGAAAATGGCAGGATTCGAATTCAGATCATCAGAAAGGCAAAACCTGAAGCCACCTCTAGCACCAAGTGTCTGAGATCTGAGACTCCTCCTCGTCTTGTCCAGAGAGATAACTGGGTCACGGTCCTCACAAGGCCAACTGTCTCTTTCCCCGTGTGGGTCTCTAACATGGATGGCTCGGTGCCCGTGGAATCAGCTTAAGCCCAAGGCCTCGGGAGTCACTGCAGGCCCAGCCCTGGGCAGGGCAAGGTGGAAACAGGTTTCTATCTGCGAGTTCCTCAGTACAGGCACGGTCCCCTCCGAGACTGAATTCCCAGGGAAGACAGAGCTGCTGTTTTGGGCCAGGACATGCTGTCTGTGGATCTGTCTTCATCGGATGTTAATGACACTCTTTCCACCATGTATTTTCAAGTTTCTCGAGCCAGGCTGGAGACTCGCGTGGTGCTCAGGAAGGGCTGTCACAATGCTCAGCTGACCCCCTGGGTAATTTTAGAGTGCTGGTGGTGTTGAGATGCGTCCAGTTCAGAACCTAGGGCAGGAAAATTCAACCAGACCAGGATGCCCGGAGCATGGACTGACTGGAACCAGGCCATGTTTCATGCGGTCCCACACATCTTGGAAGTGACTGCTCCCCAAAGTTGGAGTCGTGTCACTCGCTGACTCCTGCATGGCCCAGAATAGGGTGTAGTTACCCTGCGGCCGCCCAGGCCAACTTCACAGGCAGTGAACCTCCTGGGCCAGGAGCCAGGGCACGGTGGGGCCTGGGGTCCCCGCTCCCAGCCCCCCAGCCCCGCTGAGCAGTCACTGTCGTCCTGTGTACCCCTTGGCCTCCCTCTGCCTGCACCGCAGTGGCTTACCTTACTACGAGGCATCTGCTTCAGCTGCACAGCCACCTGGCTTCTGAGAAACACAGGCCACACCCCCGGGACGATTCCCGGCACCTCCCCTCTCTCTCCCTACTCCTGTCCTCTGCCTGGAACTGATGGAAGTTCGGGTGGGCTCTCTGCTCCTGTTCTTCCCTCCACCCCTTGGGCCTCCAGGTCTCCCACGCCCGGCTCCTGGCCCTGCAGAGCCCAGCTCCCTGGTGATTTTCTTGCGGGCTGAGTGGCAGTCGGGCACTGCCGGAGCCTGCCAGTCAGTGTCCTAACTGAGCACCCCAGGAGCAGGACCATGTCACTCCCAGGCCAGCTGCCCGTCCGCAGGAGTTTGACGTGCTGTGGTGCCTATGTGGGAAGCCACTTCCTCCCTTGCTGTTCTACTTCAGCCGGAAAGGAACTCATTTGCCTGGATGTGAACTGCACAGCAGCCGCCTATCTTTGGGCAGCAAGAGAACTGAGGGATTCCCTGGCCCGGGCTGAGGCCCTCAGCAGCCTGTGCCCAGTGTCACTGGGGAAGCAGAAACTACTGCTGTTGCTGTTTTATAGCCAATCAGGGGTGAAGGGAGACCTGAAGCACCTCACACTGTCCACATCTCACAGCTGGGGCACTGGGCTTTGAGCCCTGCCTGGAGTCCCAGCCCCACAAGTTCTATTCCCCCCTCACCTGTGCTGGGCCTCACTCCCCACACCCCTGCTGGCAGAGCCTTCCCTGGCTCCCAGGAGTGCTGCCTGGGGGCTCCCCTTCCCTGACCCCTAAGCCTCTTCCAGGTGCTGTGTGGTGCCTCTCTCTCTCCAGCAGTGACGTGACCTCAGGAGAATGGCTTTGAGAGGAGCTGTGTTCGTCCCTCACACCTCTCTTCTCCACCTTTGGCTACTCCAGACCCAGGAATCGGGCCTATGGTCCCCTGGACTTGCCTCAGCAGTGTGGGGCTCTGGGGATGGTCTGAGCTGTGTTCCACAGACCCACAGGACCTCAGAGCCAGGGAACCCTCTGCTACCTGGGGCTGGAAATATGGAATTGTCCTGGTTCTTGTTTTGAGTTCTCACATACCAAATGGCCACAGAGATATTGTGACAGAGACGTCTGGGTGCAGGGGTGGGGGGAAGTTCCTCTGCCCCTCCCTGGAGCTACGAGGAAGCAGGATGCCTGTCTACTGGAAGGACTTGGATGCCACCTTGTCAACCAGATCCCTCCAACGCCTTTACCCCATGCCCTATGTGCCCTGATTTACAAAATGTTCCTAACCTTTTAAGTTCCATTGCATAAAGAGGTCACTTTGGTGGTCCAGGCAGGAGACAGGGAAGAGAGAAATTTGAGCAGGCCACTCAGGATACTTGCCAATGTGGCACACCCTAGGTGTGGCAACTGGCCAGAAGGGACCAAGCAGGAAGACCTGGCCTGAGGAACAGGGCTCTAACTCACAAGCAAGGCTGCAGGGGTCTGTGATGCAAAGCAGGGTGCTGGGTCGGCAGCTCTGAGGGAAGGAGGGTGCTCTGCACACCTCTGTGCCTGGGGGACTCACTCCCCTCCTGGCAGGGCTTCCAGGAAGCTGGCAAGGCCTTGGCAGTCCCTCATGCTGCCCCTACCCAGGGCCGTGGAGTAAGGAATGTACCTACCCGCCAGCGGCATGTGACGGGCAAGCTCTGCACTGCGGATCCTGTGTAGATAGAGGCGCGTGCTGGCCGACAGGCAGCACCAGAGTCCGCCACTGTGACCGCTTGGGACCCCTGCTGGGCTCTGAGTGGCACTCACAGGGCAGAAGTTGGTCGGCCTCCTGCTGCACCCATTCTAGGTGCCCCAGAGGGTGCTCCTGGCGCTGATGCCTGGGACTCCACCCCTCTGTGGTGATCGCCTTCCCATATGGGCATCCTGGGCCCATCCCGTGCCAGCCCTCCTGTCCTCTGAAGCAGGATCAGGACAGCTTCCCAAGGAGTTCAGGCCAGCAGGTGGGGTGCCCATGTGCAGTAGCCCAGGCAGTGAGAAGAGAGGGCCTGTGGAAATTGTGCAGGGCATCCCTGAGTGCAGGCAGAAGACCAGGCTAAGCCGAGGCTGAGGGGGCTGGGGAGACACAATGCACCGGGAGGGCCTGTGGTACAAGCGAGGCGGGAACGTTACCCTTCAGAGGAGGAGCCCTGCCAGTGCACACGACCAGCCATGGGGCGAGGGGACACTGCTGGGACCAGGGACCAGGATTGAGAGTGAAGGGCAGGGACTCTACATAGGCAGAGGAGGCCCACGAGGCTGACCAGGGTCACCAGTGCCGCCCCACCAAGGTGTAGCAGAGGGCGAACGCTCCGGACAGAGCCAGGAAGTTGCTCACCTCTCAAGCCTCCATCCCTCGCCTGTGACAGGCCCATAGAGGACCTGCAGAGGATGGAGGGGAGGCGGAGAGCTGGGTGAGCTGGGCTCCTGCTCTGCGGCAGCCCATGGAGTCATGGTCAGCATGCAGCAAGCCTCCTGCGCCCAGGGTCCCCAGGTCCCCAGGTCCCCCGTCATGAGCCATCTCTCTGTAGAGTGCGGTGATGTCTGCATCCTGATGCGGCCTCCCGCACAGTCCGCACCATCTCAGGCTGCTCACGGCTTCCAGCACAAAGAAAGCCATGGGAGGCATCACAGCACTTGGCTGCTTAGGGGTCAGTGAGGAGGAGGATGTCTGGGTGCTCAGCTCAGAAGCACTTCATTCCCAGGTGTATTCCACCTGGGGCTGTCCGTGTCAAGGTGTGAGCCTGGGCATGCAGGGGCCGACTGCGCTCTGGGCCGACCCCAGCCGAGCGGCTCTCAAAGCACAGCTGCTGACCGGGGCTGGGGACCCGGGGCTGCCAGGGTCACACTGCAGAGTTCATCCTGACGGGGGTCATGTGAGCACAGGGCCGGCCTGGCTGAGGGAAGTCAAAGGCAGGGGCTGGGGGTGCAGGCTGCTTCCGGCAGCTCTGCTGTCCCTGGTCAGGACCAGAACCCGCTCCACAGTGGCAGAGGGATCCCACTCAGACGGAAGGGGCCAGCCCTGCGCTGAGCCGACTTTCACAATCAAAGCCCAGCCGTGCCAACCGAAGCCAACACTCAGAGGCCTCCAGCTCTCCTTCCCCAGCCCTTCCTGTTCCTCCCTCATTGTGAGAGCCTCGGTTTCTGAGTTCGTGGGGATCCTTAGGCTCCCCATGCCCCCTCCTCCCTGGTGAGTTCTCCTCCCTGTACGAAGCCTCACATAGGGTGGGTGTGAGGCTTAGAGTTTGTGTGTGTGCTTGGTATGCATGAGTTCGATGCCCAGCTCTAAAAAGAAGGAAAAGAAAACCAGCAAGTTCATGTAAGTGGATTCCTGCACTGTTTGTTGTTTGTGGTGGATTACCCTTAACAGAGTGTCCTTGTGGTTGAATTTTATCCTTCAGGCTGAGTCGTAACCCATTACACACACACCGAATTTGCTTGTTTACTCATCCTGGGTTGGCCCCACCTTTACCACTGTGAATGTGGCCCTGCTTCTCTGTTTGGTTTCTGCTTTCAGTTCTTTTGGGGTATGCGAAGGTGAGAGGATTGTCATGGGATTCTGTGCTTCAATTTGGAGTCAGGTGGTGAGCGCTCCGTGGTTCTAAGGTACAGCCAGAGAGTCGGGAGATCAGGCTTTAGCAGTGACAGAACCGCTTGGGAAGAAGCCACACCCCAGGCCAGCTAAGCAGCTTTTCTGGAGGGGACCCCACCCCGCTGGAGCAGTTCAGGAACCTCTGTGTGTACGTGCTTCTAGGTCCCAGTCTGCGTGGCGTTCACACCCTGCTGGGACTGCAGACTCTGAGGGTGCTGGGGCGGTGGCTTCCTCCTTCCGGGCCCTGGGTGACTCTAATGTGCAGCCCACTCAGACCTGCTGACCCTGTTCAGTCCCAGCAAGGGACTGAACCCCAGCTGGGTGCAGCTCAGGGGTTTGAGTTGGATTCTCCAGGCTGGTGGTATTGAGCACAGTGAGGCCACGTTGGTCCTGAGGTGGGAAGAAAGAATACAGATAGAAAGGAGACGAGGAAATTGTAATCTCAAAATTGTAATGTTTGAGAAAACTGCAGCTTGGAGATGCCGTTTAATCCATAAACTAGACCTGTGTTTTTCTTCTGGCCCTATGAATTCACAGTTGCACAGGCTGCCACCCTCAGGAAGCAGCACGGTTTTCTGGGTGTGTCACCTCCGAGCTTCACACACGGCATCTGACCTGCACGCACACGTGTACTCTGATTGTGACCGAGGCGGGGTTTTCTTTAGCCCACAAACAAGTAACCTAATCGACACAGGTAACTTATGCATAACTCAAAGGGTAAAGATCCAGCTCACCCATCTTGAGGATACCCCAAGACCACACAGATACTCCCCAGATCCTAGTCCTGCCGTAATATTTGTTTTGAAATCTGAATTTGTTTCCCACACCATTGATATTAGGGAACACTGACGTATTCGGGAGGATTACTGACACAGCACACTCCAGGGTCCGTGCCTCACCCTGTCTCGGGGCTTTTGGGGGCTTTCCTTGGGCTTCTCGGTCCTTCTTGGGATCTTGGTGGAAGCCCCGGGACCCTGCAGCCTGCATGCCCAGCGTACCAGGGAGATGTGCTGCAGCAGCCTCCAAACCAGGGCCCAGGGAGACCGAGGTGCTTCCCAGGGATCTGTCTCAGAAGACTCTTGGAGCAGACTTTCTGGGCTCAGAGCTGTGGTATGGCCCTGTCCTTCCATCTTCACAAAGTCGAGAGCCACATCTGCAGCAGTATTTGTATATTTCTCAATCATGGACCGTGGCTGACACTCTGCTGTTATTCTCATTTGGTTCCTGCCTTTTTCATGTGCTGCTGATCTCGGGATTTGGGTGTTTTTTGTTTTTGTTTGGTGGCTAGGATGGGACCCCGGGCCCCTCACATGCTAAGCACCTGCTTTGTCACTGAGCATGGCCCCAGGCCCACTGACTAAGCACTTTGTATGGTTTATCGGTTTTGTTTTGTGGTTCCAGGGATCTATAAATGGTGGGTTTTTTACCAGGTTCTGTGGGCACTCTTGGAAGCCAGCGCTGAGTCATCCAAAGACAGAACTGAAACTGAAAACTTTAACTCCCTTCTTCTGAGCTGGTGTCTCATAGCTGTCTCTGTGGGGCTTTTCCTGTGTGGTTGCATAAGACGAGGATACATCCTGAGGTTTGGATAAAACAGGGGCTGCAAAACTGTCAGCAACTTGGAAATGAAATTAGTTCTTTCCAGCAAATAGTGGTTCAGCATCAGAACACATTCACCTTTCAGCCACTTAAAATCCTCATTTATGAAGTCCAAGTTTCTGTTCTCTTTTCCTGTGGAACAGCAGTCAGCAAACTGTGGTCTGTGTTTAGACTGCAAAGCCTAAAATATTCACCATCTGCTCCTTCACAGTGGACATTTCCCAGCCAGTGCTCTGGGACATGAAGTGCCAGGTTATTCTGTATAAATTAAAGATTCTCACTGAGCCAGGGGCTTCAGGAGGCCTGGGACTCAGACCCTGGCTGAGCATTTGGTTTGAGATGCAGATGTGCCGCTTTGGAAGACAAGGACTCCACGCCCTCAGAGGGAGATCCCTCTGTGACCTGGACACAGAAGAGCCCCGACTCAACTGTTTCCCGTTTCCTGCTCAGCTGAGCCTGGGTCACAGCAGCACCCTCAGGTGCAGGAGGCCGGTCTTGTTCCGAGCCTCGGAGGCAGGGCTGGGATCCACTTCACACTGCAGGGGAGCCACACAAGCAGATGGCCATGGTCCCCCGAGAGCACCTGCTTTCCTCTTTGGCTCACAGGGCACGACTCCCCTGTCCTGGTCTCAGATGTACAATCTCACTGGGGTACACTGAATGGGGACCCCACTTCCTCCCACAAGCCTGCAACCGTAGCTTCCAGGGGGCAGCCTGGGACAGCACCACGGAACTCAGCCCGAGGGGCTGCTGCAGCGGTGGCCTGGCGTCCGTCCCTCCACGCATCCGTCTGTCCACCCCCTGGAGCCAGCCTCGTTTAGCCCTGCTTCATCAGTCATGATTTATGTTTGATCTTAGGATTGAGGCAGTATGGTCACCACGAAGAGAAAAATCACAGGCTGCACGGGTGGAGAGAATAAGCACCGTCCAAGGAAATCCCGGCCTTCATCTCAGGTGCCTGTGAGAACCCGGAGGAAGGAACTGGAACATCCGGTCCCTGGGCTGCAAGTGTCAGGAGCAGGCCCCTCCTGGAGCGGATGTTTGAAACAGCCCCTCATGAGTTGCTGTGAAATCCACAGGCAGAGCGGCATCTGCCTCACACACAATCTTGAATCAGAAAAATGTGACTACGCTATAAAGAGGAAAGAATTCGTGGTGAGTTGAGGTGCTCTTCCTTGTGAATGCCTGGTACAGTGACCCTGGAAGACAAAACGAGGTGGGTGGACATTCACGTGGCCTTGTTACAAAAGAGTTTGGATTTAAGTGAAATAAGGTAATATTCAACCGATGCTTTTTGAATTACACTTGACATTCTGAAAGGAAGGCCACAGGAATCTGCTCAGATGTAAGCAGTCACCGGCAGGTCCATCATCCTGTTCCTGATTCCCGGCGGGCCTGGCCGTGGAGACATGGTCTTCTGACACACAGTCGCGCTGTGCAGAGCTCCAAGCTGGACGAGGCCCTGTCTTCCCCAGACTAAGGGCAGCGGCTTCCCTGGAGATTCCTGAACGCCTAGGAGCATGTGCAGGTTTGGACTAGGTGTCCGCCCTTCCGGCACGCTGGCGGACGTCCTACCTACCGCCAGGTGGCGCTGGCTGGTCCTGCGAGGCACGGGGCTGCAGTGCTGCCAGGCTCCCGGCCCCCAGGGGTACGCCCAGCCCTCCCTGTGAGGACCAAAAGGGCCTGGATGGCTGCAGACCCACAGAGAGTGCTCCAGGCCGCTGCCCCCGTCCAGAGCCCCCGAGCTAATGTCTGTTGAAAGGCTTGCTATTCCTGTGTCTAATGGGAGCAGACAATAAGTACATAGGCAAATGGACAAGGCCACCAAGGCGGTTGGGAGTAGAGTGGGTAAGTGGATGAGACCCAGGGACCAGCCTGGAGGAGCTGTGGCTGAGACACGAAGGCAGGGGCCTTGTGAACCCTCACCCTGTTCCTCGGGGTGGACGAGATAATGGGTGACAGACCCAAGGGCGGAGTCCCTGCGACTCCCCTCTGGGACCCAGCATAGCACTTGGGACACCTGTGCTGAGCACCTTGCTCTGCTGCTGCTCATGCTAGCAACCTCTCCCCCACACAGAGGGCGACGCCCTGCAACTCAGCATGTGGCCTGGGCCATCGGTGTCCCACACTTGCACACACACACACACACAGATGTCAGTGGGTGCAGTCCCCTGGCACGCCCCATGACATTGTGTGCACGAGACAGCTCCAAGGTCTGTGTGACGAGGGGCTTGGCTAGGGTCCCGGACGTGGGCTGCAGGCTGGGCAGGGGAGGGGAAGCAGTGGAGCGTTTCTACCCCTCTGGTGACCTGGGGACTGAGACGAAGCAAGCTCTGCCCCTCCTGCAGTACTGTGCACTTTCCCTCCTCAGATCTTGAAGAAGTAAACAAACACGGTTACTGTTAACAACAGGTAAGTGTGTTGGTGTGGTTTGGTTTGGTTTTGTGGCGCTGGGGATGAACATAGGCCTGTGTCTGCTAGGCCACTGCTCTCTGCTGAACCACATCCTGGCCCGGCGCTCTGTCTTGTAGATCCTAGGGTAGTGACCTATATGTGGGAAGTGCAGTGTGAAAGGTGTGACAGAACGATGAGAGCAGCCTCATCCACACGAGCAACCTCTGCCAACAGACAGCCTGTCCCTGGGTCAGAGGAGCAAAGGGGCTCAGGGGGCAGCACATCATGGGGCACCCAAGTTCTGGATCCCTGTGCGGGGCCTCGAGCTGAGCCACTCCTCTCCTTCTCCACAGGGCCATGGCAGGTCCCCTTGGCCTTCTCGTGGGCGTGGCGCTCATGGCTGGCCCTGTGCTCGGGATCCTGCCCTGCTCCTCCGATGGACAGATGGCCTTATTTCGTTCCTGCAACCTCACCCAGATCCCCCAGGTCCTCAACACTACCAGGAGGCTCCTGCTGAGCTCCAACTATATCGGGATGGTAACAAGAACGTCATTCCCCCTCCTGGAGCAGCTCCAGCTACTGGAGCTTGGGGGCCAACTGACACCCCTGACCATCGGCCCAGAGGCCTTCCGGAACCTACCCAGCCTCAGGGTCTTGGACCTGGGTGACACCAAGATGCACATCCTGCATCTGGATGCTTTCCAGGGCCTGCCCCAGCTGTTTGAACTTAGACTGTTTTCCTGTGGTCTCTCAGATGCTATATTGAGAGATGGTTATTTCAGAAATTTAACTTCCTTAAACCGCCTGGACCTGTCTATAAATCAGATTAATAGCCTTTACCTTCATCCTTCATTTCAAGGACTGAATTCTTTAAAGTCCATGGATTTTGCTCTCAACCCAATCCCCACCGTGTGTGAGGGCGAGCTCAGCCCACTCCAAGGGAAGACACTGTCTCTTCTCAGCCTCAGACTGACGCAGGTGTACATGAGGGGCGTGGACTGGGAGAAGTGTGGGAACCCCCTGCGCAGCCTGCAGCTGGAGACCCTCGATGCTTCTGTGAATGGCTGGACCGTGGCCATCACGGGAAACTTCAGCATCGCCATTGCAGGGAGCAGGGTTTCCTCTTTGATCCTCCAGCGCCACATCATGGGTTCTGGCTTTGGCTTCCACAACATCAAAGATCCCGACTGGAGCACGTTTGCAGGCCTGGCCAGAAGCTCGGTGAGAAGCCTGGATCTCTCTAACGGGTTCATCTTCTCCCTGAACCCCCGGCTCTTTGAGACGCTCAAGGACTTGAAGGTCCTGAACCTTGCCCACAACAAGATAAATAAGATCTTAGATGGAGCCTTTGAAGGGCTCGGCAGCCTCCAGGTCCTCAATATGTCATTTAACCTCCTGGGGGAGCTGTATGATTCCAACTTCCAAGGGCTGCCTCATGTAGCATACATCGACCTTCAGAAGAACCACATTGGGATCATTGAGGCCCAGACCTTCAGACTCCTGGGAAATCTAGAGACCTTGGATCTCCGGGACAATGCTCTTAAAACCATCTCTTTTATTCCGGACATACTTACTGTCTTTCTAGGTGGCAACAAACTGGTGACTCTGCCAGACATCAGCCTCAGGGTCAGCTTCATGGAGTTAGCAGCAAACAGGCTGGAAAGTCTGGCCGATCTCTACTTCCTCCTCCAGGTCCCTGATCTCCACACTCTCATTGTAAATCAAAATCGCCTTTCCTTGTGTACGCCAGGCCTTAGCCCCGCAGTGAGCCACAGCTTAGAAAAGCTCCTTCTTGGAGAAAATATGCTGCAACTGGCCTGGGAAACCGGGTTCTGCTGGGATGTTTTTAAGGGACTTTCCCATCTCCAGGTTCTGTTTCTGAACAATAACTACCTGAATTTCCTCCCCCCCGGGGTGTTTAGTGAGCTGACTTCACTAAGAGGACTCAGCCTCAGCTCCAACAGGCTGGCGTCTCTCCCTCCCGGCAGTTTGCCTGCTAACTTGGAGATCTTGGATCTATCCAGAAACCAGCTCCTCTCTCCAGATCCCGGCTTGTTTGCGTCACTCCATTTCTTGGACATAACCCACAACAAGTTCATCTGCGAGTGTGAGCTGAGCACATTTATCAGGTGGCTCAATCACACTAACATCACTCTCGAGGGGTCTCCTGAGGACGTGTCCTGTGCGTATCCCGCTGGGCTCTTGGACGTGCCCCTCCACTCTCTCTCCACGGAGGGCTGTGATGAGGAGGAAGCCTTAAAGTCTCTGCAGCTTTCCCTTTTCGTCGTGTCCACTGTCACTGTGACTCTGTTCCTCATGACCATCCTCGTGCTCACAAAGCTCCGGGGCCTTTGTTTCCTGTGCTACAAGACAGCGCAGAGCCTGATACTGGGTGACCGACCCCCGAGAAGAGAGCCCGACACATACAAATACGATGCCTATTTCTGCTTCAGTAGCAAAGACTTCAAATGGGTTCAGAATGCTCTGCTTAAACACCTGGACGCTCAGTACAGTGACCGAAACAGACTTCACCTGTGCTTCGAAGAGCGAGACTTCGTCCCAGGGGAGGACCACATCGCCAACCTCCAGGCCGCCATCTGGAGCAGCAGGAAGGTCGTCTGCCTGGTGAGCAGGCACTTCCTCTTCGACGGCTGGTGCCTGGAAGCCTTCACCTACGCCCAGGGCAGGTGCGTGTCTGACCTCCAGAGCGCGCTCATTGTGGTGGTGGTGGGGTCACTGTCCCAGTATGAGCTGATGAGACATCAGGCCATCCGAGGGTTTGTGCAGAAGCAGCAGTACTTGAGGTGGCCGCAGGATCTCCAGGATGTGGACTGGTTTCTCAGTAAGCTCTCTCAGCACATACTAAAGAGAGAGAAGGGAAAGAGGGAAGACAGCGGCATACAGCTGCAGACCATAGCCTCCATCCGCTAGCAGAGCAGCGTGCAGCATGTCCCAAGCCACAAAAGTCTCTGCTTCGTATTTGTGCCAACTTGGCGCTTGGGGATCCTTTCCGGGGCTCTCCTTCCTGTACAAAGACAACAGCCATCTCTCGGTTTTCCTGTCGACACGATGTTTTGTCTCACTGCCCTCCGAATGGAAAAGAACAGATCTGGAAAACTGCGGGTGCGCTGGCAGCTCACGCTCACCACGGATTCCTCAGACCCGGTGACACCAGTGTCCTGCTGTATCAACATGCAGTGTCCCTGGTGTGGTGGGCACCTTGGGAAAAATTACCGATGGCTCCACACTCTCTCTGGGCTCTGTTCAGGAACTGGCTGGGCAGTGATTCCAAGTTCTCAGTGCTCTGCAAACCAACATTAAACAGGAAATCAAGGGAAGAAGGGGCGTGTTTCTTCCCCTGTATAGGAAGATGCCCTGTGATACTGGTCACACTCGTCTGGGGGTAGGAGGTGGCCCTGGAGACGCAGGGGTGAGAGTGACCCGTCCTGTGGCCACACCACACTTCCTTTTGCTGTGGGATCTCTCAGTTCAGACTCAGAACCTTCCTGGATTCAGCACCAACCCACTTTCTCCTTCCCGCCTACCACACCTTGTTTACGATCAACTACGAGCACTGCTGTGAAAAGAAATGCACAGGTTCTATGCACAGGTTCGGACCCGGCCCAGTGCGTCAGGGCAGCTGGGTGCTCTCCGCCCCATGTTGCTCTCATGGCCGCAAGACCCACCCACACCCAGGGCCCCCTGTGTACAGTCGCCAGGATCCAGGTCTACATTTTTCAATCCTAAAAGGAACCTATGTGTATTTTGCGTTGTAATCCTTTTTTATGTTTATTAATACAGACCTTTTATTGCAAACACATTAAGAAAATTTAAACCAAAGGTGTGTCATGATTGTCCCTCGCTCACATCCACTGCGGCCCTGGCACCCACCCCCCAGGATGCCTTTACTGCCCCTACTGTGACACACACATGCACACACAAAGGCCTGACTCTCAGGACACCTTTTCCATGAGACAGCTTTTCCCGCACCCAGGGATGGAGCTGCTCCTTTGCGAACCTTCTTTCTGGAATGTTCTTTCGCAGCTTCCCATGCATTCTATGTGTTCCTCAAACTCCAGCCCCCAGAGCCGAAGCATCCATCCCACTCCGAGTCCTCTCACTTTCTGTGAGGACTCTGATGCTTTTTCTGTTCTCTTTACACCTGTAGTGTTCCTGCCTCCTTTGCAAGCCGGGAGGCCCTGTGGCCGGTCAGGACCATGAGGGGAGACCTGTCCTCTGTGCCCACCGTGCACGCCAGCATGGGTCACACCCACCTTCGGGCCTCCTAGGGCTTCCCAGCTGCACACTTGTGCCTGGATCCCTCCGCCCACCCCCGACCTTCTGGCGAGCTCCCTGCCATTGCTGGTGGCCTGCACACTTCTGTCACTGAGCTGTGACGTGGGCTTTGCCAGTGTGTTTGGTAGATGAGACCCTGTCCCGCGCTCCATGCTGAGTGGTCCCTGGCCAGCACATGCTCAGCACGCCAGGTGCACCCAATGCCCACCTTGTTAGTTCCCACCAATGCCACTGGCTCTCCAGGGAGGGACAGTCAGGCAGGGACGGGGACAGCCGCTGAGTCTGGCTGAAGGGGAGGAGTTCCGGGGGTAAAGAGTCCTGCAGGCACATTTCATTCTGTGGCACCCCGGCCAGGTGGTGGGGAGAGGTGATGGGCAGAGGGTGGGGAAGGGAAACTGTCCCAGTGAGCCTGAGAATGGCTTCTTCCTGAACTACGGACTAAGGGCGCTGTCAACAAACCAAAGCCAGGGACAGTCACGGCCGCCACTCGGGGGGCACAAGAAGCCTGTGGGACTCACTCGGTCTCACCCAGGACACCTCTCACAGCCACCACCCCTGGTACAGAGAGATGAGGACCCTCAGAACCTCTCAAAGAGAGGGCAGGGCAGTGCGGCTGGGGTGATAGCAGGGACCCTGCACTGGGGACCATCACTCTGCCCCTGTTTTCCAGACCAGCCCTGCGACAGATGCAGAGACACGTATCCGTAGGAATGATGGTCCGCAACACTGAGGGCTCGTCACGTCTGAAGAGGTCTGAGTCACAGCCTGTCCCAGCACATGTTGAAAGCACACACAGCAGGTGGCTCACCTGGCGACACACTTAGGAAGCGCCTTCCCTAGTCTCGAGCCGGCGTGGAGGGGAGACCTCTTCACATCACGCATCCCAGCCACACAGAATTGACCATGTCTCTCTAATCCACCCAGAAACCTTTTCCGGCAAAGACCTGAAGTTTTCTTAAAATGTCATCATTTGTCTTTTCTCCTGTCACCAGGATCAGCAGCTGGAATTTGTTTTGAAGCCGTTTTCCAAGTGTTTGCTACTGCATCACTGCCTGGATGCCCAAAGGACAGGCCAGGGCACCACGTGGGAAGGGGTCTGGCCCTCGGTAGCTCGAGGTCAGGCTCCAGGACACCGACAAACTCTCCAGACAAGCACAGAGGTACAAGAATGGAAGGTGGAAAGGGCTATCCTGTTCACTGGTCTGGAGGGTCCCCTCCATGAAAGGTGATCCTCTCCTCGGGTCTGCAACAGGTAGCACACCGTGGTGGGCGGGCATGCTGGAGCGAGATGTCCCTGTGGTTCCCTCTGGGAACAGACAGGCCAGGCCAAGACCACCCACGAGGCTCCTGCTTCTAAAGGTCCCACACCTCCCTGTGGTGCCACGCTGGGGACAGCCTTTTAACATGGGCCTTGGGAGACATCCCAGGGCCAAAGCCTACCATCCACAGGATATAGCCCTTTGGGGTCGTGCTAAAGTAGGAAGAACTAATCCAACAATTTAAGACTGCCTACAGCTCACTGTATTTAAAATAGAGACTATTCTGGAAAATTTAGAATATTGGTTGGGGCTGTCAAAAGCTTCAAAGGGAATCTCACTCATCACCCCGAATGTAACCAACTTTGAAAATTCCTTCTCAACGTCATGCATCTGCAGTGAATGATTTTTGATATAATATGAAATAAAAGTGGCTTTCATTTTAAATCGTGAAATAACACTGATGGGAGTACAGGTGTAAGAAAGTTAAATGTTCATCTACCACTATAAAGTTAACGTAAATTGTTTGTAATATTAAGTCAAGAAATAACATTCGAGCACACAGAAGTCTAGAAAAGCCAGGGATGGATGGTGCTGGCCTGTGGGAGTTCTTCCACTGGCACATCCAGAAAAGCTAGAGAAATTCTTTTTAGAATCTATTTAAAGGCTCTGGAGTGCTCCACAGTTGTCAGTGGGGCTGAAATCCAAGAGCAGAATAGAGAGATGAGCACATTGACAGCCAGACCTTCCACTCGTGGAGGAGAAGTGCAAGGCATTGCAAGGTAGGAGATGTTTGCTCTGCATGGATCACAGTGAGAACAGGAGCGCGTGTCACACAGAAGGAAAGACAACAGAAAAGGAAAATGGACGAGAGGACCAAGAATTTCACTAAAGGTTATCTAGTGCCCAGCAAGCAAATGGAAAGGCCTTTGGCCTCTTTTAGTCCTCAGAAAAATACAGATTAAACCCATGTGCTGCCCCTACACACCCAGCAAGGGTTTAAGTCAAGGAGGCCAACAGCAAAGATGCAAACAGCCTCACCATCCTGGCGAGCGAGGAGCGTGCACATGGCGCCACAGGGGTACCCAGCGCACTCCCAGAGGGCACAGCAGACGTTTGAGCAGCGTCACCTGCAGTGGCCAACACTGTTAGCCATGGAGTGGACAAACTGTAGTAATGGGAACCTAGCAGGGTGACAGCCAGCCAGCTTCATGCAGCAGCAGGGGCAACTTCACACATGTCAGGCCAGAGATAAAGCATTAGTGACCAGATATGGGATGGCTCTGCTTTTAGATGTTTCAGAAAGACGTAACTCACCTGTGGTGACCGTGACAGTGACAGTGGCTGTGGATGAGGAGGGCTGAGGGGCTCCCGAGGGGTGGTTCTGTTCCGTTCTGTTTTCTGACTGGACGGCTGGTGACAGGTGAGCTCACCTGGTCATGATACAGGGTCATCAAAATATACAGTGAACATTTAGCTTAAAAAGCCATGGATTCCCCCTTAGCCCTCCCCTCGCTTCCAGCACGCTTAATGCCATTGTTCTCGCCACTGTCTGAAGCGATTCTGTAAGCCCCGTGTCGGGAGTATCTTCTCATGGCTGCCCCAATGTCCTGCATTGGCTCAAAATGTTTACAGCAATTTCTGTCAAATAAAAACATGACACTGTGTCTGCCTTACCCACTGGCTCTGGCATTGTGACTTCTGGCTCTTCCCTGAAGCCCAACGTAAAAATAACCCTAAAAGGGAAATATCGAGGCTGCCAGGACAGCACATCTAAAGACACTCAGGAAAGAGGACTCCAGAGCTGCTGCAGGAAGTGACGGGGACAATGGTTAAGTGTGTTTGTAACAAGGGGAAGGACCTTGGGTATTCATGGCAATGGGTCTTACTGCGTTCATTTTTCCTAATTTAAATGTTAACTACAGTTTTCAATCGTACATCATACATTTTATCTGTATCCATTAATTCACTTACTGCTCTAACATTTAACGTCAGAAAATTTCCTGTAGCTGTTAAAGGAATGAAAGACACATAGTATTCTGATTTGTGTGGAGTGAACGGACCCCTCCCTCAGGGACTCATGCTCCTGCTGTGACCTGCTCCCCTGCTTGGACCGAGCACCACTGGGGAGGGACAGAGGCTGCCACGTGATTGTGAGCCTTTGGTATCTCTTCCTATTGAACTGTGCCAGCAATTCACTGAAATGCTCAAAACAGGCAAAAAGAAATAGCTACTTCCATAGAGTAGAATCGGTAAGTTCTGCCAGTGACAGAAGGCAGAGAACAGAGAAAATTAGCTGGAATTTTAAAATTAAACCAGCAACAAAAGAAATAAAACTACTTCAACAGATTAATATATATGCAAATATACATACATACATACATGTGTATAGTTCTGCTTGATTTTCTTTTTCTTGAGATTAAAGGAATTTTAATGTTTTCCTTAGCAGTTAAACATTTTATTTCTCAGTGGCCATAATAACTTCCATTTAGATCATGCATTTAAGAAATGAAACATTTTCATTTTACAGAAAATTCCATGGAAAGACCTTGCTAAGGTTTCTGTGGCCTTGGGCACCCAGGTCCAGGCTGCTCTGACAAAGTGACTTTATTCCTGAAGAGTGGGGACCCGGCCTAAGGAAATCAGGTTTCTTTTCCTGGCTCAGGCTGCACCTCCTGGGAAGGTTGCCCACCTGTGGGGAGGTTATCAGACCCCACGACACACCCTGCAGGAAGCCACGCTCCAGGGTGACTCTACAGGTGCTGACTATATTCTGCTGCTCAAGTGGCCCTCAGGCCTCAAACTCAAGGCCACATTCATGGTTTCTGCTATAATGGGGGTGGCTAACTTGCTCCCAGCACCCTTCCAGGTGGCAGCTGTGTTCTTAGGCCAGCATCCTCCAAGCCTGCAGGCCATGCCAAGCCCAGGTCAGCAGTCTCTGCTGACCAGTGAGCTCTGTGGAGAGGATGCTGGACTCCAGGCACAGGGGCAAACACAGCAACCAGAGCTGGTGTGGGGCACTGGCTGCAGAAGG